TGCTAAAAAAAAAAAAACCAACATGGCTAAGTAGTTGTAAAACTGAATATAAAATCAATAAGAAAACAAAATAGTATTGCCTACAACATGCTACACTGAATAGATTAATGAACATGCTGAAGAAATTCAAGGAAGACCACCACCAATCACAGAGAAAAATACATCTTTCCTTCATGCACCCAACCAACAAAACGCATGCAAATGAAAACAAAAGAACAAACAACACTGCAAACACAATATGTAAACATAAAGGCAAACACATATGATATCAACCTCAAAAAAGAAAAAAAAAACAATTCATATGTTTGTACTTGCAAGTGTAGCTGTGTACAGACAAGTTGGCTTGCGTAAATACGTGTGTTGGAGTGTATGTGGATTGTGTTTCTCTGCAGACATATTTACTTACATAAATGCATGTGCATGCATGTGTGTTGAGGTGAATGTGGATTGTATTTGTGTGCAGATATATTTGCATACATAAATGCATGTGCACGCATGTGTGTTGGGGTGTATGTGGATTATGTTTGTGTGCAGACATGTTTGCTTGCATAAAAGCATGTGCATGCATGCGTGTTGGGGTGTACGTGTGAACTACTGTATATTTGTGTGCATGTGTATAAGATCAGAGACAAGTTTAGCTCAACTAAACAGTATTAAAAAGTTATATCATATTTAATGTAAATGACTCCATTTTATAAACAATTTAGAAGTTTGGTTAGATTTATGGATTCCTAATTTTTTTTTTTTTTATTTAGCAAAACAATCTAAAAAATTACAGCATGGCAAAGCTTTTAAGCTGGTTTAACTGATGAAGCACAAAATTTTGAATGCTTAATTTGATTCAGTATGTAAAACAATGTAAAATTGTAAAATAGATTGAAATTTGAAAAGAATATTACAAAACCAGAAGTGAAGAAATGAAAATTATGATTTTTCGGCAAGTTGACAAATTATTCCATTATTTCTAATGATGCATTATGGTAGGGACAGAGAAGGAAAAGTAGAATACGATCTAATAATAAATATATTTAAAGGAAGACAGGTAAAATCCTCCATCAGATATAGAATTAAACAAGTAAATAAACAAAATTTGAAATTAAAAGAAAGCAAATAAATAAAATGTAATACTCACAAACTGAATGGGCAACAGCGAGTGATGAATATGGCAAGTTAATAAATGGAGAAAGAAAATACAAGTAGGACATAATAATGTCAGAAAAGCAGATGGCGCAGCTAATATTACAATAGCACAGCTATATTTATAAAAAGCTATGTGAATTGCTAATAATACGGAACTTAAGCATTATTTACGAGCCGCTAGAGGGGAAAGGAAGGATGGAATATTAAATGCAAACCCAGGAATATATATATATAAAAAAAGGTTGAAAACAAGGAAGGCACTGGGTTTAAAATTTAAATTTTTTGGACTGCACATAACCTTAATTTGTAACAGGGAGGGGAGAATTCAAAAGGAGAGGTAACATGCCACACCCCTATCTCATGCCATGCCAACTTCCCCTAGTCATACCTACCCCTCTATGACACAAAAAAAAAGCTTTTCCCCTTTTCTCCCACTTGGGACCCACTTTCCTTACCAGTTTGGATCAACCACTAAATAAAGAGGAAGATGATTTTTCTGCTGACACCTAGTTAATCCATGGTCCAAGCAGATGTTTAATATAGAATTATGCAAATTTATGCAAATTAACCATCAATTTTTTTTTTTAATCCAAAATGCACCAGCGTTTTCAGACAATACCTATAAACAATACAAGCAAATTAACATCAAAATTGCTGATAATGTTCTATGTACTATAAACAAATTAGCTTTGAATTAATATGATACACAAATTCATGCCACACGTTAAATAGATAGGTGGAGTAAGCCTGTCCACAGCACTTGCCTTTATATCCTTGGTCTTTATCTGTATACATAATAACAATAATAACAAGGATGCTATACTGTCTATCAAATTCACAGCAATAAAGTGTATCCCTACCTTCCTTTCCCCCTAGATCAATCCCCCAACCCACCGGATAACGATTTGCAAACTTACACATAGAGTTGGTGATTATAAGCAAACATGAGGTAATTATGATTTAATAGTTAATTACTTGTTTCCAAAGCATGCAATTGTGATAATACAATGTAAATATAACATGTATAATGAAATGGAAAACCACCCTGATAATGTTATATAGTAACTGTATATTTTCTGATTGTTAAATTATGGTATTATGTTTCAAAGTAATAAAGTACGAACCATGATATTATTAGAAAAAAAAACTAAAAAAAAATTCCATGTTTAATAAAAATGAATTCGACAATCAGTATATAGTATTAACTGTTCATATGTTTGATTAATTTATATCAAACACAAAGTGTGGCCTTGTCCTTATAAAAAAAAACACCAATATGCTTAATACCAATGATGAAAGAAATACATATACTAGAAATACCTGCTGATATAATATGTTTAAAATTCCATAAAAAATAAAAACCCTTGTTACATTATGTTGGTGTCATTTTGAATATGCCAAAATAATTAGTGAGCCTTGGTATCTGCTTATGGTTATATATTCTATTGATATATAAGATAATTTTGAGTGCAAGATGTGTGTATATATTTTTTGACATAAGAAAATGTGAAACAAACTGCAAAGGTGGCCATGAAAGGCAATATGATATTAAAACACTATTTCAGGAGATGAACTAATCAAGTTTAAAATATCCTGATAACATAATAAAATTTAAAAAGTAATAATAAATATTAAAATATTCATTGAAATATTTAAAAACATTTTGACAAAAAAAAACCATTGGTTTTTTGTTTGACGTTTCATACCAATTCTCCTGATCATAACAGTAATCTCAACGAAACATTGGAACATGAAAAATGATGGGACTTTTTGTCTCCAAACTAAATTTCATCACATAATTTAATAAAACAAAAAGCATATATTTGTACAGGCCTCCATGAGCTTTATTATATGAGGCTTGGCATCCCACAAACCAGCATCAGCAACCAAAAAAATAAAAATTGAATTTTTTAATATACTCATATTCTTCACATTTTAAGCTTAAAAATGATGGGTCATTTACTGGCATCGACTTTATACTAATTGCCAAAGTTATGAGTATTATGGCTGATCTGTACTAGAGTATACAATACTGATGCATTCTTCATGCTGATTACTCAGTTTAACATTTAGCGACAGTACGCTGGTTTTGGAATGGCAAACTCATATTATTAACATACTCATAAGGAATAAATTCCTAAGGAACACATATTTAAGTGCTCCCTGGAGAATATTCTATAACGTTGAAGATAAATATCATATTATTAAATTATTAAGGCCTACACCATTTGGAGCTTGTTTCACACTTTCTATTATATTGATAAAACACATTTATTAGAATAGCATCATCACATCAATATACTTCTCTAATATGTGCAAGCATTTATACTTAGTATAAAAAATTCAGAAGCAAAATTCACTGTCAGAATTTACATTTAGGTTATCGTTGAGTATGTAAAATAGCTTATAAATATGCCAATGAGCAGGCAACACCCAATATAATCTTACTCAAAACTGAATGTATACCTGAAGTGTTTGGAGATAAAGCTGTTTGGAAAATCCCGTCTACAGAAATAAGTCAGTATCATTATATTAAAAACATTAAAATTTAAGGTGATATGAATATTATCTTTTATGATTATAACTATTCATAAAAGTTTATGAATATTCATCAGTATTTAATATGGATAATATATTATCTTTCTTCAGACTTATTATTTATTTTAATTTTAGATATCAGAAAAGGTAACATAAATTTTAAATATATCTTAGAGGCAGTTCTGGATATTGCGGTAAATCACAGCATGCTTTACATTGTATTAATCATACACCATCTCAAACACAAATGGTTTCATGCACCTAATCCCTCTAATACATTCACTACACTTAGGCTGTCTGGCATTTGTCACACATTCCTAATGAGTGAATGTCATTCTAAGGTATATGTATACATAAATTACAACTTCTTTATCATTAACCAAGACACATACCGTACTTATTAACTAAAAAAACAAATAGAAGTCCAGACTCATGGTTGTTAATGAACAATCAGTCTATGAACTTCAATTTTTATTTTCTGAATATTTTATGACAGACAAAATCTATAATCGACATTGTGGAGTATGACATGGGATGAAACAATCAGAACTGCCTCTTCAGCGATATATATAGAGCCTCCTCCAGGGCAAAGGAAGTGTATGAATACATGTTAACATCTTAAATTTAGCATATCTACTAACCTCTGATTTGCTAATTCCCTGCTCTCGTTGTTGTTCCTTCAACTCTTCCAACTCAGCTTCGAGCTCCAAGATTCTCTGGTTGGCAAACCTACAAATGCAAAGACGATTCATTCGATTGGTTAATTTTAAATGTAGCCCCTTTCAGGTAGACACAATATTGCAGTAAGCATGCCGGCATAATAATCGGTCTGTATCCTTTTACACAGCACCTCTGTTACTGCAATATTGCGGTAATCTTACGACTTTCTCTCTGAAAGGGTCCAACAGAATGGCGTAATATTGGTGGTTTAAACACCACTGTGCAATTGTTGTAAACTTTAACCTTGTTTGTTTATACATAAATGCACACGTCAGCTTGTTTGCCACAATTTCAAGTAGACCTTTCCAAACAGAGCAAGCCAGTAACCGTTACCGTAATATTGCAGCAATATTACTAGGGTGCAAAGTGGTCTAAAGTTTCAGACAGAAACACTTGACGGCGTGCTTACTGCAATATTGCAGCTCTGTCTGAAAGGGGCTTATGATTATTTTGACTGTGTTAAATGTTTCTCATTTTATTTATTATTCTCCAACAAGCTTTGTTTGTTTGCCCTCCAGCGCCCGCCCTAGCTCACATAAAAATAGGGGCAGCGTTTATAAAAAAGTTTTTTTTCTTTCAATTTTTAGTTCACAAATTTTAAGCAATCTTTATTTTTCTCCACTTTGCACATGAAAGTTGTCTAAATTTGGTGTCTAATGTAAGGTATCGCCATTCCAGGCCTAAATTCATTGCAAAATATTAGTTATGGGTTATTTTTATTCAGTCTGATGAATACTCTTTGCAAAAACAAATAGTGAGACAGGGTTAATTACAAGCATTGCGACTTAATATGTTAATTTTGGTGACAGGAGAAACAACAAACAAAACTATTTTGCGCCCACCCCTCCTATACAATTTCCAGCAGTAAAGGGCAAACAAACTATTTTTTAGGCCTTATTTTAGTTGTTAATAAACTTTTAAAGCCACCTTAGACAGCGTCATACAATGCAGCCCGATGTGCTTTATAATCGGGGACAGTCGTAAGGTTGACGTGAGAATATTTAACATGTTTAATATTATATGATGCAACTGTCCCTGATGCAGACCTATCGCATCAGTGTTCAGCTCACACAAACACACGTGATTTGATGCCATACAACGCTGACTGGGTTGCCCTTTCCTTTTAAGCACTATAAATTTCTGACTCACTAAAGGATGATGCAACCCCTCTGAAACCAATGTTAGCAGGAGCTACAGCCTTACTGATACAATTGCACTTCAACTGACCAACAATGAGAGAAACTGAGAGAAATAATTATTCCCCCATTCCCTACCTATTATCAGACTCTAGTTCGTTCTTGCGACTGTTTGAATCGTCTAGAAGACTCTGTAACAGCTGCGATTTCTCATCTAATGAATCTGTCTGCTGTAACTTCAACATCTTATTCTCGTGCTGCAGTCGAATCATCTTTTCTCTAAAATAAATCACAAAAACTTTAAATTCAAGAAATGAAGATTTTTTTTCTCATGTTGTATTTGCCTTCGCAATCAACCAAACCATTTATTAATATATCATATTATATATTTTCATGCACAAGGTCAAAGGGCTGTCAAAAGCAAGCTTCATTACTTTCTACAGGGCAAACAATTTCATACAGGTAGGATTCTATACATGGTAGTTCTTGACAGGAAGTAATCATAGGGCTGTGGGATCGGAAGGCAAGCATCTCTTTAATAACATATAGGAAACGGTTTAAAGTACTAATGTAAATGTTTACATGGCATGTACAAAAGCTAAGTTGGTTCACTGAGAAAATCTTAAAATAATTATTGTCTCCATGGTTGGGGTTAAAGTAGTGGTAGTTACTGTGAGTGCACTGAAGGACGTAGACTCCTGGTTCAATTCCATTGCTGCTCTCATTAAGCTTCATTTGGAACACTGATATGCAAATTAGTAATTTTTTTTTTGGTTTTTAGAAGAGCTGATTATAGATGATGTTCTTGTTTGCATATTGTCTTTAGGTCTAACTTAAAGATTATCTTAATTTTTATTTTTATTTCATTTATTGTTGCATTATTTATTTATGATTCTGGACTTTGCCACTGCTTCTTTTGATTTCTTTACTTGTTTTTTGCTAGGGTTAGGCAATGGTCATGACTGCCTGCTGGTAGTGAGGTGCCTAAGTATGTGGGGTGCAGCGCTTCGTATCTGCAAAGAAAGGCGCTTTATAAATGACCTGATTGGATTGGATATTAAAACACTTAACTGGTACGAAGAATAGGAATCTAGTACAGTGGAACCCCTCATTTACGAACCCCGATTTTACGAACGTAATATATAGGTGATGACGTCATAAAAATTGAAGCGAAAGATTAAAAAAAAAAAAACCCGCTCGAATTGTACCTGTTATTACCAGGCATACAACACAACACACCATACTATACAGTACTATGTAATTCTCAAGTGAAGGAGGCCCTCTAACAGGCCTCTTCAAAGTCAGTGTTTTTTATGGCTTCACACATGTGCATGCGACAAATTTTACTTCTCTTTCAAACATCGTTTTCAGCTTTAAAATTCAACATAGTGCTTGATTGTTTTATTGAATGATCAATATATATAATAAACAAGTATCTATGGAATTTGTGTTGGAATAAAATCCACGATCTAGGTATTTAAAAAGGTAAAAATGTCCGATAAAAACAAATTTGTGCAGGGCCTAGAGTGGGATCAGAATGCTTAGAAGCTGCCAATTGTAGGCCTAGGCCCCCTCAGACTTAGCTGCGTAAGCCTGTAGGCCTAGCCTAGGCCTAGTTTATACCAGTGTAAATAGTATCAGTACAAATATATAGGAATTTGGGTCAACCCCGATTTTACGAATACCCGAATTTACGAACGGCTCTGGGCCCGTGCCGTACGTAAATGAGGGGTTCTACTGTATACAGAATATCACCAGTACACAGCACACACAACCTAATAGGTTGTGTAAGAACACAACACACCTGATTTCAGGAGGAACCATCTCAGTAAAGCCAGGTGATGTTGATAGTTCAGGGCTACCCGGTGAATTATGCATCATACTGGCGCTACCATACAGCTGCGTGCATGTTAGTTCATCGTTCGTTTCTTTTAGCGAATCACGTTCAATACGTAACCTCTGCAACATAAAAAGCATATCATGTATTATACAATATTTTTACAATATTAAATATTCACGTCAACAAAAAATGGAAAGAGTTATTGCAGTATTACTAGGAATTTCTGTCAGCATTCAATGAACACAGTAGAAACCCTTCCTTTGGGACACACCTATTAAGAGGACACCCATGTTAAGGGGACACTGTTTTCCGGTCCTGAAAGTGTCCCCTAATAGGGGTACTACTGTAATACATCTTAAAACCCTATAACAGAAATGAAATTGCATTCAAAATACTGCTACTTCAACTTGGCAATTACTGGTTTCTTACATCAATATTATAAGTGATTATTCACTAATGATATTTTGATGCTCCGCTTACATCATAAAAGCCTCATTCGATTACATAAACAATTGCTTTGGGACAACTGTAATTACCAGCACAGAATGATTTCTTTCTATTTTGAATAACTTCTCAGATATGCACATCAGAACTATAATACACATTGATGGAATATGGAATATCTTTGCTTTAAATGGCAATGCAACAATACTTTTCTGAAACAATTTTTTTTGCATGATAATACCATCATCATTATTGCTCTCACCTCGTTTTCGGCTTGTAGTTGTGCCGTCTTATCTCCCTGTCGGCCTGCTTCAAACTCAAGCTTATCTGCTTTTTTCGTGACTTCTGATAATTTTATATGCAATTCTTGAGTCTGACGTTTGTAGGTTTCTAATTGTGTTTTTAATGCATTTGCTTTCTTCAGTTCCTACAATGTGGATGACATACAATATAAAGTGATATGCATACAGTGTTTTATATAAAAATCCTTCACTGAGTAATCACATATGAGGACTTGAATCCAGAGAGAATGACATAAGTCTACTGACATTGTTTATTTAAGTTTTTTAAATGCTTTGCATAAAAATTTACAATCATATTTATGTAAATGTAACCGAAATCAAGTTTGGGTCGAGGGTTTCACTTTGATAGCTACTAATGTTTGTAATATATAAAATTCTATTTACATACACATGCTCTATCTCATATAAATGTTTGGAAAATTTATTTAGGTTTCACACATACATGCATGTTGAAAAAGAGTTGAATGAATTAAAGGCATATAATAAGAAGTCACAGTGTAATCTATCCTATTGTGAAGTTAGCCCACCCAACATTGTCCACTCCACTGCCAACCCTACATTAACAATGGTATATTCCATTTTGGGTGGTTTTCGTCTGGGTGGTTATTGTCCTGGGTGGTTTATGTCTGATTCCCGTTAACTACGCCAACTAAGCGACAAAATAGACCAAAACATCTTTCCCGTTTTCACAAGCAACAAGATAAGTGATGAAATAATACATGAAATGCTGTTTATTAGAAAATTGAAACCAAGTCTTAATAAACAATGTGACTCTGTCAAAGCAAAGCCTTTTTATCTACACTCTTTGACATTGTAGATTAGCTTTTTTTCTATTGATTATAAGTTGCTGTATATTCTATACTTATCATTTGATCTTGAACATTTTTTTTAAGCGTTATTTTCATATTAAATATTTATTTACAAAATGTACTCTGATTAACTATAATATTGAGATAAATATGTATACCCACCTCTTCTAGGTCAATTGTATTTTTCATATAACTTGTGTTTTTTTCTTCTAATAATTTGATTTGTTTTCTAAGATCAGCCAAGTCTTCCAGTTTTTTTTTGTAGGTGTCGATTGAGGCTTCGTACTTGGCAAGCTTTGCCGTTGAGTGTCGCAATATGTCCATCTCATCCTTCATATGCTGGGCCTCCTCTGCTATGACTGTTAGTTCATCATTCTATTTGCAGACAATTTGTTGATGTAGTTAAATATTTATAAGATATTATTGTATTTTCTTTTAATTAGCATTTACCGAAAGGTTGTATGCTTTATGTTTGGCTGGTAAGAGATGGTGTAATGTTGTTTCTCATGCATATAAAGCATGCATTGTTTAAAAATATCATTTTTATTTTTGACATTGTGAAAATTGAAATAAAATGACCAATCATTACAACATATCATAGACTTGGGCAGTCCCATGATCAACTGATGACTGAAATATAATGATGATGATGATGATGACTATGACAATGATGATGATGATGAAGACAATGAAGATGATAATGATGATGATGGTCATGACGACAATTATATATTATAATGACGGTGCTGTCGACAACATTGACAACACCAGCGGTGATAGAAATATGATGATGATTAAGACGATGATGATAATGATAATAATAAATACCTTACGAGTCAACTCGGACACTTCCTTATCCAACATCTCTGCTTTAATTCTGAAATCATCCTTAATTCCTTCGACACGGAAGTTCTCTTCCTGCAACTGTTCTACCTGCTGTTGTAGCTGGTGAAACTTCCTGCCAGCAACGGAGCTGCAATCGCAACCAATGAGAAACTTAAGTTTATTTTAACACATTAATGTTATAATGATGATATGCTTAAGGACCACTTGGGCTAATATGAATATTCATAGCAACCCTTCATTTTTATGTTGCAGCTCAATTGGAGGAATTTCGCATGGGGGAGAGGTAGCGATATCCGAAGTAGGAAGACAATTGAATTGGGTCCTTGATCAACTACAAAATTTGAGCTAGGCTCCTTGGAGCACAAATCAGGTACAGACTATCACCTGATAGTACATAACATGCACCTGAACCATGATGATGATGTACACAGGACCAATGGTTTAATATTTCAAAAAAATGGTGTACTGTATTGTATAAACTTTGTTTCATGGGGTGGTGGGAAAGGAGACTATGCTTGATAGAATTAAACCAGGGAACAGTTAAATTACATCTAAAGACACAAAGACCTGCGGTTTAGCACACACAGTGCTCACTATCCCATTGCTATGGGTAAGCTGATTATAATAGTTACACACAATGTACTATCATTGCTTTGTAATATTGAACAATAGACTAGAGTTTAATATTACTATCACATTACAAGAGATACTGTAGATTAGATAAGAATGCCTAATATGATATCGCAATAAATACGTGTTCCATAATGTAATCTCCAAAGAGTACACTAAAATGGTGTGGGCAATACTATTAACAATATGTGTTACACAATTACACTACTAAAATAACAAATAAAAATTCCGTAAAACAGATTCGGGGAATTTGTGATTAGGTGAAGGACATAGTTGTGGGAAGGGTTTAGGAAAGGAATGTGAAGCTTTTAACAAAGTGTGATATAGATCAATGGATGAAAAGGGGAAAAAAACTATGCACTCAGATATGATGATTTCCATAAAATCGCTACATGCTATTGCTTATGATTGCATCTTATGGAAAAGCTGGTTTTCAGTGAACATCTATTAAAGCAGTGGGAATATTTGATGGTAGTGATTAACATTTAATCAAAACAAGTGTGATTATCAAAGAGAATCTGAAGAACTTTTGTGATGACGAGGCACAAATCAGAGAGGGTTTCTGATTGCCTAGGAGACAGTTACGCACTGTAGCGACCGTGTAATGATTTTAAAGATACCAAGCTTTTGAGCGAAATCATTCTTTATTGCTTGTAACAGTAATAATCAACTAAAAGTAAATATTTTAATATCTACGGAATACAGTATAAAGCACTGTAAAAAAAATATATATAAGCCTATTTGTTAATTGCTATCACCATTTAATATAAGATATCATGATTTAAAAATGAGAAATAAAGCAGATATCCAAATACAACTTTTAGCTCTGGAAAGTTAGATTTGTAATGGAATGAATATATTTAGTGTTGTTTTTATTTACAATTCTTCTAAAAGAGAACAATTGTGATTGCGAAAAGGGTAAAGAGAAGAATTACCATTATTAGCTTGATAATACTTTCATCATTATTACTATTAGCATGTAAGTCCAACAAATGATGTCCTTTATAATTTTATTTCACTAAATATGTACATCAAACAATTATAACAATGTACAATTATTGGTCATAAGATTGCAGCCTACAAAAGTGTGATGGAATGGAAGTCCATGCTATCTCTACACGAGGAGGGTGGAGTAACAGACAAACTACAACCTCATTCTTTAAAGTTGTTTTAAAGTAAATTGAGCACAAAGATGAAGATAAACCCGAAAATAGCTTTCAAGAGATGCATGCAATGGATATTAAATACATACCTCGGTTCAGGGGGAGTCAACCCTGCTATGTTTGCACTACAGAGTCGTGCCAAAATAAACAGAAAATATAATGTACTGTATGTAAAACTAAATCTAAAGGTACAGTAGTTTCATTCAGAAACACAAAAATGATACTATATAGAAGGGTTAAAATTCAGTTGTTTGTCTAAAATTATCAATATTTTTGGATTCTCTAAACATCATTAATATAAAACATAATTAAATATATAGACAAACAGGTATAGGCAAAAAGGCATTTATAGTAGTTGATAGGAACACAAATGGACAAATCCTTGCTTATTACGGAGGCAGACACACAGATGGATATTATTATATATATATATATTATACAAGGCAATATGAAAAGATAAAATTTAAAAACATACACACTCTGAGAGTAAAATAAAATCAAACATACTGAAACATAGTACTTTCGCAATATTATATTTTGTAAAATTTTACAACAAATGCTTAAAATTAGAAACATCTAAAAAAGGAAGAATGCAGTACAATGATGACTTGTGAACACTGCAGTATTAAGTTTGTGTTCAGTCAAAAAATAAAAACAGTATCTTTAACAAGAAAGTATGTTATTATCATTATTATCTATATTATTACCTTGGGTCATCAAGATGGTAACCTTGTTCCATTCTCTGTAACAAAGACTCATTTTCAATTTGTACGATATTCTTCTCTTCTTGTAAAGCAGCAACCTATTGGTTTAATTAATAAATATAAAAAAAACATCACTATAGATTATTTTGACAGTTTGACAGGGAAGGAGTGGGGATGCTGTGCTTAAGCTGTCTCATCAACCAAAAGGCCAACTCCTAATAAAAGCTGAATGCTAAATGTTTCATTCACAATTAGCCAAAAAACTAATTGCTGTATATTCATTTGTTTTTGCTAAAGAAATTTCTATTTGGATAGTTATTTTCATACCAAGAATAGCTAAATTGCTAATATTGTTGTTCACCAGCTTAAACCCTGGGGGTGTAGGACTATGAAGGGGACATTTTGTGTAGTACTCATATTTTGCAAAATTAAATCATCTTTCTATACAAATTTTGAAAATGACGTCATGCAATTTTATGTGCATTGAGATCGCTGTATAATTTTTTTGATTGATTTATTAAATGACTGTTTAAGCGACTAGTCGGAGATGTCTTCAATATTTGTAAAATGTTTGACAAAACCTATAAAAGGACCATCCAAAAATGAATAATACTGAATGTACGGTTTTCAACAACCATGTACACTAAACATAATTAATATAGCGGGTCTCTTTTCTTATTACAAGGCAACCAACTACAGAACTACTGTAGCCAAAAAATCCTAATTGTAATGGTATTAACTAGTATACATGGAGTCACATTCTATTGCATAATATACTATGTTATTATTTGATATTACTGTATTAATATCACCTACTGATTTATTAAGGGACACACAACATTCTTGTTTTTGTTAAATCCTTGGAGTGTTTGTAAATTTTCTTGACGCATTATGAATTAATTAGGATATGACTGTGTTAATGCTTATGATGCCATTGCCTGCACAGCTACAAAATAATAATTACAAAAATTACCTTGTAGGCTGCTGTACAGAATGTAATTTTACCAATCGTTTACATTTATATTAGATTTATTATTGCATTGGAAGATCTCCCAATCAACGTAGATATACAGTATATATTTTTTTTAATTGGAGGAAAACCTGTACTATAAAATACACATAAAGGGAATTCAATTGAAAAAGTAATTTTAAGTTAAAGAAATAAAGAATTTCATTAATCAGTGTGTAATATAATAATTATTCATGCAATATATATCATTATCATCAAAGTAAACCATGCTTACTTTTAGGATGAATAGTTAGTTGTTTGTTTGTTTTTTGTTTTTTCAGAACCTGAATCATATTTAAACTGCTTTCTGAGAGCTTTGTACAGTACCTCAATAAAAAGATAAAATAAAAAAAATAATTCTACAGAAACTTACTTGAAGATCAAGCTCATGGCATTTTTGTAGTGCAAGGTCTTTCTCTTCACGTAGCCTTCGTGTTTCGTTCTCTAAGTACTTTGTTTCTTCGAGATCTTCAAATCCATCAGTTTGGTCGTGATGATGCACGTCCATATTCATAATTTCTTGTATAGCGCCCATGATCACTTGCTGTACGTCCTCTTCCATTCCCATGATACTGTTTATGTATTCTGGGTGAGAAGAAAATTGTTGAAAATCTAAAACTTAACTTTATCAATAATAATTGTATTTTATTTTTCATATACCGCATTTCTTCGAATAAATAGGCTGCTTACTGTTGAGAAGGGTATTTGAGAGGGAGTTTATTCGAGGGTGGCATTTATTTTTTTTAGTGTAAGGTGCATATGTATACTAAAATTAATGCCTTAATGTTACTGTAAATGTGGAACTATCATTACCATCAAAATGTGTTCATTAGACAAAAAAATCAGTTATTTTGCCCAATACTTGAATATACGAGTGAGTTTAGGGGTGGGCTTCAATATCCAGAACTAAAGAAATGCATATTGATCCTGTGGTATGCTAGATTGGTTTTGTTTAGGCCTCATTGATTGCCTACTGTTAGCCTTCACAAAAAGTTTTATAGAGGCCTCGTATCCAAAGGCTTAGGCCTAGCTAGTATTTTCAACTTTTATTTTCAATTTATATAAACATATTTCATAATTAGTTCATTTTACTTTTTTACATTTTTATATGAGGCATTAATGATGTGGAATTTCCATTCCAAACCTATCACTATATTACTTATACAAAACAATGAATAACAATTTAAGAGTCCAAATAACATTTTAATTGACTTTAATGAATGCAAACAGTTTACCAGGACAATTTATTTTATGAACTTCAAGGCTTAATAAACAATTAAAATACTACTGTATATGAAGGTCTACTAATAAGATAATTTAAAAAAAATAATGTACTGTACATATAAAACATTTTTGTATTTAATATCATGCTATCAATTTGATTCAAATTGAAACCGTTTCTTTTAAGCAAAACCATTACGTTCAACACTGAGAAGAAAAAGAACTCTGATAATCTAAAGCATGAACCAGAATGTGTGATGTGTAACACAATAATCTTGAGTACCAGCAAACAACTTGCATGAATTGATTCAAGGTCTAAAATACTGACTGTATATTTCCTATGTCTAATGCACATGTTTCTAATAAACATATAAAGTGATATATTGTAAACATAAAAAAAATTATTATTTTTAATCTTATTAAAATTTTATTAATGAAATTATTTACTCATTATTATTAGTGATTACTGTACTGATTATTGGTAAACCATACATCAAGTGGTTAACAATAGCAGACATGTAAACAAACAACAATAGTTTGGTTGGTAAGTTAATCTGATTATCAGCATTAATAATTGATTAGCTGGATTAACGATCACATCATACAATGAGTTGGTTCCAATCAGTTTTACTACTGTTGTTAAATTCATGAGTATGTTTATCATAGCCGAGATGGTCACAACTAATCTATCATCTTGGATGACATTAGAGGCTTGAAGTCCCTGACTAGGCTTCTTCAGGTCCTACTGTGTACACTGGAGAATAGGGGTAGTGTAGGGTCTCAGTTTACTTTGGTACAAGCAGCATTTTTGACATTTTAAGGGCATATTTTAATATTTTCTTTAATAGTTCTGCTCCTTAAGGAGCCCCACTCAGCTAATAGCAAAAAAAAGGTTTATTAATATCCTGGGCCCTGTAATTTATTCATGTTTTATTTATTGTCTTATGGTAAAGCATTGATTTCCAAAGTACAGTAGCTCAGTAATTAACAAAAAAAAAGAAAAAAAAAGAAGAAAACTATTGAAGAAACATTACTAAAAACATATTTCTTAAAATATTTAAAATATTGACAATACAGCAATTTACTACACTATGGAAAATACACTGCAGAAGAAATTGATGTTAAGTTATCTTATATTATCTTATAAAGGATTTGAAATTTAGAACTTATTAATTATCTTATAAAGGATTTCCAATAGAAGTTTTAAAATTTAAAAGCACGGTCTGTGACCAAGTGACAGCTCATAGGTATTATGCCAGTGCCTATCTGGAGGGTTGCTTGCAGAAGACCTATGTCTCATACTTGCTGTGAGACTTGCATGAGGCCTCTCTTAACTTCATGCTCATAAATAATGAGCATATCAAAAATGTACACTTCACCATCTCTTATAGTCTTTTAGTAATAATAATAACTATAATAATGGTACTGTAGAATTAAATAGCACATTATGATAAAGCCCTAAATGCTCTTCACACAGTATCATTACCCCGTCATTGGATTAAATGCAATGGAATGCAACCTCAGCTCTTCAGGGGAGTATTCCATAACGTTGCGGAAATAATCACTGCATTATGAATTTAACTCTAGGTACCCAAGTTTTACTCCTGACTGGACAGAAGCAATGCAGATAAAGTGCAATTGCACAAGAACACAAGTGAAATGGACAACGAGGGATTGAAACTTCAACCTCGTGGTTCCAACTGCGCCAAACCACTTCAGTTAATGGTTGGTCATATTTTTGACAAAAGGCAGAATTTTTTTTTTTAAATCCTATTTTACTTTTGAGATATCATCCACACAGCTTGGCCTAGTAAGCACGGCCAAGCCTATTTGGGCCTGGTTTCACTTTAGCAAATTCTTTATATTCTTCGAATCTATCAAATGTTGCATTAAACTATAAATTACATATTTTGGACGGCCTATTTCGTTTTTCTGGCTAAACCCTTGAGTACAGATTACCTCATGGATATATTAGTGAGCATGACTCCATGGCTATTACAATACCAAATACCACACCTCAATTCCAAACTTGGCATGCTGTACGGCTGATGTCATCTTATCTTTACTTTAGTTTAACAACACACACAAATACAAAATTCTTTATTGTATTTGTATACAGTTATTTGTATTTTGTATTACAAAATATTCCGTTTGCAATTTCCCACATACTGTATGGCATGGTTTGATACCATATAAGGTTGATTGGGTTAACTTTCTTGTCCAAAAATGGAAATGGATAACTTGCTTTTACTACAGGTGTGAATCATGTGACTTTACATCAAAGAACTTCACTACAATGCAAATGAAAAATCATCCAATCATTCTATTATCTACTGGGTTTTCCATAATTTATTAATAGTATTTTAAATTCTTTAAACAAGTTCATTTGGAATAAAGATAAGCCATTGGTAACTTAACTGGAATTTACGGCAATAGTATTTTTAAAATCTTACAGTTTACAAAACCTATTGGCAATATAAAAGTTTTCTTTTGTAAAAAAAAAAATATATATATATATATATATATATATTTTTTCAATTCATTTATTCCCGTTACATTGCTGTTATTGTTTTCATTGCACTGCAAACCTAAAAAAACATTCAACCTTATTAACGCAAAACATTTTTATACCTTGACTACTAAAAGTTACTTTATAAAATATTCATATGAAGGCCAAACAAAAGAAATTAAAATATTTCTTATTGGGAAATTTCGTGGTGTAGGTAGGCATGGTAAAAATCATGAAACCAGAGCCTTGCAAGCATCAAACTTCCTATCATTACCTCATCAGGAAATATAAAGTTGGGTCAAATTTGTGTGGTTTAACTTGAGCAAATTTAATTGAGGAGTAAATATCGTGCACTTGAATATTTAAAATTTAACAGTAATGGGGGAAAGCGACAATAATTAGGGCCGACTAGAGCCTCGTAGGGGCGGCTCCAGGGATGTCCAAAAGGGGGAGGGGGAAGTGGGTCTGATCAAAGCAACACTACCCAAGGGGGTTTTGTTTTCTGGATGTGTTAAAATAAACCTCTGAGGAATTTTTGAGCGATCAATTAATTTCTTCTTCCATATTTTTTCCCTTTTTTTTCCACATTCCTTTTTTTTTCCAGAGTTCCTCCCTAAATCCACCCCTGCCTCGGTCAGGGTACTGGAAAAAATCAAGCGTACGTGTAGATTTTGGACCACATTGGTAACGTTATTTGATAGGCAAATTCATATTTTTAGCACACAAAAGACGTACTTTAAAAGTTTGTTGTTGAATATACTGTATAACACAAAAGTTGAATACTTTGGCCTATACAGTAGTTTCGTTTTAGTTTGGAACGATATCGTTCCGATGGGTATCGTATTGGAGGTGGGTGGCCTACTACAGTATGTTCAAAATTGGTTTGGGCCTGATCGCCTGTCACCCGCAGTTTTCACCGCGATGATCAAGAATATACACAATCTAGGCCTAGCCTTGCTTCGGAGATTAAAGCGAGACTTGTAACTGCCATCACTCTGCTCTACAAGTATGTACACCATATAACAAAGCGACCCACGTAGTGCATTCTTAAATTTATTCTAAACTTGGCAAATATATTATCAATAGCACACTGCCAGTCATCTTACTGTTTTCACACACGGTAAGGATTAGCTTTTGTTAACAGCTGAACCTACCTTCTTTCCTGTCACAATTAACAGCTATTCCGAGAACAAGCTGCAATAGTCGGCCTAGGTGGTATTCATTGCCAAGCTCTGCTATCGATCCCAAGTCAGGCACAGGAAAATCTTGTATAGACTGGTTTAAAACCTGCAACCAAGAAAAAAATGTATTTTTTAAACATGATATAGATTTTAGTTCACCAGTGTAAATGCATCATTACTTAAATGAATTTATCACTGCTCTGTACTGTAGCATTCTTTATGAGCTGAGCTTGCTGGTTGAGAGGTACTGTATTGTTCCTGTTCCTGCTGAACACGTTGGTTTAAATCTGGCCAGAGCCGAGTTATAATTGGAGCTTCGCTCCTTGAATAACACCCATACTGATAGTTACAAGTAGGTGGGTTAAGGACAGTGCTTGTTTCCGTATGTGTCCGTTATGTTGGGTGGCGCATCACTCTGGCTGGTGCGGGTCCCCAGGCCTCCACCACAATTTTCCGATTTTCAATTAGAATGAGGACCAATAAATAATTACTATTATGTTCCTTTGGTAATATTTGAAACTGGTGAAGGTTTAAATATTTAAAGTTATAAAGAAGCATTTTTTTCAAATGAAATATTAAGTATAAAAATAATAAAACATACACATAAAGGTCACAGTTTACTATTTTACACCATATGAAACAGCAAGTAGTCTCTGTTAAAGACATGATGTTAATTATATCTCCATGGTTTGTGATCTTAATATAAAGTAACCAAACACACTGTAGCTATGTATCGTGTACAGTATGATCCCGAGCTATGTTATCTAGAGACGTATAGAGTACTACAGTGGTACGTCACGATACCATGTGATACTACTCCGTTGCTATCGTTGCAAAATGAGTTCAACCGGACTCCATTTTCCTTACTGACAAACCGTTGATTCCAATTTCTAACGTAATTATTAAGATGTTGCATCTTAGTTTTTCTTTGTAAATTTTAATTGGTGATTAAATGTGTGTTCGATAACTAATATAATGCAAGCTTTTGTGTTTTTAGTACATTTTGATGGTAAAATATAAGATTTTAAAATGCCTATTCTAGAATGCCTACGAAGTCATTCAGACGTAATAAACGGTAACCAACGTCTGGTTGGCAACAGAGGGCGCTACCTGGCATTGTGACGACACGACTGTGGTACTCTATAGTCCTCATTATCCTGTACAGTAACTTGTAACTTAGCCAAGTTAAATGTGCTAGTACTTTAATTGTATTATGTTATTTTAGGCCATGTTAATATTCTAAAACATAATTTAGGATAATTATGGAGAAACAGACAATATTAAAAGCATTGTACTGTATAGTAAAGATCTGCTGGTTCATGCAATCTAATCAAGACCTAATGCTACTACAGATATTCTATAAATAGAAGCTTGGATAATGTTTAAACGTCATTATGTCTGGTATGTACTACTACGATATCTCAAAATCTCCCAGGCCATATAATTTTGTGACCTAGACAAGTACTATAGTGCTACATATATAAATATGCATAGTTTTTTTTCGTAAATCCAACAAAAATTCTTATTCTGGGGAATAGCAGAAACACTAGTGCTGTGCCTACCATCATTTTTGAATATAGTAGTAGGCCCTCTGAGTTCATTTCCGTGGACACACGCCTGAAGCTTTGATGTCCATCGGAAGAATGAAGTGAAAAGAGCAACTGTGTCTCAACCAAAGACACAACCAAGAAAGGATTTGGAACCTTGTCTTTCTTGCTCCAACGTCCAAAACTCTCGATCCACTGGGTCGTATTGTCATTATCATCATGAAGTGACTCAAATTTTCACATCGACCATTTAAAAATTTAAAAGCTTAACAAATGACTACAAAAAAACCCCATGAATTTCAACATTCAAACATGCACATTGGAAAAACGGTATTTGTTTATATTAATTGTTAATTATTGAAGTGATGATGGTATTTATTTTACTTAATGTGCTAATTAATAAGTTATGAAATATGAAAAGTACAGGGAATGAAAAAAACACACCATATAGCTTACTTTATATAAACAGATTAAATGTCTGTTCATGAATAAATGAAAACATAAACATACCTAAATAACAATATATCTGAGCATTAATAATATTTGGCATAATTACATAATAAAATATAATATCATTCAATAGTTTCAGATAACATCCATAAAACAGAAATCTACTAACATTGTAACAAGCAGAGCTATATGGCCAATCAGAAAAGCTGTTACAAAACACAAGTTTTTATTAACCCTCTAACACTGTACTGTACACAATAAATTCACTGAGTTTATATGCTGATGTGGCAGTTGTCATGTGATAGTGATAGGATCAAAGGCTTGTCTAGCAATGCCAGGAACTGTAGGAAAAATATATTTTATATACATGTTGTAAAACTGATTTTCTAAGACACAGAAAGGGTGTTTGATGTAAAACTCAGCAACGGTTAATAAGATATATTTTTTAATTACTTAAAATTAGTTGTACAATATAGATACAGTATTTTTAAAAATTGTGTCATCCGGAACCTATAGCTTTAAGACAAGAAACACTACTGTAGGTACAGTAGCATACAGTACTCCAGCACTAGGAAGGAGGAAAGAGAGCTTTAGCCCCCTTCGAACAGGCAAGGCCCCTACTATCACCAAATAATGGATATTGGCCACAATAAACCATTCTAAAACATCTAACAAGAGCTTAAAATGCAACAACTGAAGGCATATTTCTTAACATTCAATAACAAATTATTCTCATAACATCAACATGTTCATCAACTTATTTACAATGGATACATAATTCATAATTCATAATTTTATTTCACTCAAAACGAAATGAGTCTGGTAGGCAAAAAAGGGAACATGTCCCTGTACAAGATGTCTGCCAGAGAAACAATGATAAAGGCAAAGACATAATAATAATACAAAAAATATAATAAAAGTAATAATAATAATAATAACAATCATAATAATAATAATAATAATAATAATAATAATAATAATAATAATAATAATAATATAAATAATAATAATAACAATAACAATAATAACAATAATAATAATAATATTAAAAATAATAATAATAATAATATTAAAAATAATAATAATAATAATACAGATAAAAAGATAATAACAATACAGATAAAAAAGATAATAACAATAATAATGAATGAAGATCAAAATATTGCATTGAAGTGAATTCAGTTAGTTATTAAAACATGATTTGTAGGGCTGGACTGTCATGAAGATGTTGTATTTAATAATGACGTTCTAACAAACGAGATACACTGATACAAAGGAGATACAGATAGTAAACTAGACTTTATAATTGGCAATTTAAGTAGAGGTCTGATCAGGAAACTGTAAGTTGAGTTCAGTCTAAATTACTAAGCTCCTTCCTCAAGGTGCCCTTGGTCACAAGCTATGGGATATACAGTGTTATATTTTTATGGCTTTGCTATTGACAAAAAAAAAAAACAAACAAACAAACAAAAAAAACTACATTCAGATGTATAATATTTATTCTTATTTATTTATTTAAAAATTCCTGGCAAAAAAAGCGCTGAAGAGGAAACTATGTGCCAAAGACCCAACAAAAACAAATTACAGTTAAATATAAAAAGCTATTAAAAATATAAAATCAATCAATCATATAACTTTGTGTCATACATATTAAATTAACTACTGGTTAAGAATTACAATTTGCTTTGACAGTGCAAAAGATCGTAGATATCCAGAAACAAAATAATTATTAATCTAGACTATTTATTTATTTATTTATTGTGTAAGGTTTTATTCAAAAATTGAATACATTCTTCACAGGAAGAAAAGAGCTAAAACAACCTGATGACAAAGGATCGATCATTATTATTATTATTTTTTTTTTTTTTTTTTTTTTTTTTCAACCCGGTGGCAGGGTAGCAATTAATCTAGACTATACAAGAAAGATCATTCACGATAATTTAAATAATATAAGGAAATTTCGTTACATTCATAAGAATTATGTTTGATGAGTAGTACTACAGTGAGATGGTTACTAAAATAATTAGATTATCTATTCTGCCATAATTAGGTTTTTGTGCCATTTATATTGCTTTCAATACATACAATCTTTAGCATTAGCTACAGTATTTCCAGACAATATTTCGAACCAGCATCTGCATTAGCTCTTTACACTCATCGAAACCTGACATATGCTCAGTAAAGACAGACAGGCAAAGAACATAAAGTAACCACTATAAAATTTCAGACAGCCTTTATAACTCCTTATCTGAATTTAGAAGTTGACATGGTTATAATTTACAGCGAGTTAGGGATGTACACTGTATTCCCCAAATCAACCAATCAGATGGCTTGATTGGATTACACAGGATGCCAGCTCTAATACAGATAGTCTAATTATAGAGGAACAGTGAAAAGTAATTTTGACGGAAGTCTTGGCATTTATATAGCTGTGAGCATATGTTTAGATGTTGATAAGAATACTTTCTCCACATCACAAAATATATTTATGGTTTAATAAAACTCTGTGGCAATAGCAGAAGTCCTTTTAAATGTCTGACCGTGTTTTCTAAGTCCTGTGAAAAGTTTCTTCTGATTTTTCTATGAAATTCTTAAAGCCAGGCTTGGAGAAAAAAACATTTTTGATATATGTTGACTGTACAACAGATTTTTATAAGACACAAAAAAGAGTCATAGAAAAAATATGTTGTACAATCAGCCTACTTTACAGTATCAACAAATGTTTTTCCTCTGGAACCAGATTCAATGAAAAACTTCATAGTTTCATAGCTTACAGAAATATCTGTATAAAAATACTGAATAGAAACTAATCAATGTAACTTCCACTGTATACTGTACAGTCAAAAATAATGAAAAAAAATAAACATATTTTATTTATACAAGAATTTATTATAAATTTATTAAACTAATTGGAATTAATTGATCAAGTGATTTTATTTATTTTTTTTTTTTATAATTTAATAAGTTATCTTTGAAAATGGGAATTAACAATATTGTTGCTTGCCTGTACAGAGAAGGTTTAAGCACGAAAAAGAAACATGAAATTAATTGAAATGATCTATTATTCTACTCCACACCTGCTCAGGTTATGGATTTATCACAGTGTTATGCACATGGGTAAGCATGAATATGCGTAAAAAGCAACAATGATATTGATAATCCCTATACAACCGTCAACAATAGTAATGGTTAATGGTTTTAAATTTATAAGCACAAAAATACAAAAAGTCTCTATGTGCTGTAAAAACAAGTGTAGAGATTTTTGGAAATGTGAAAGAATGAAAAAATAAAGATGAAAGTTCAAAGCCAAGCCAGCACCCAATACACCATAGCTACCCTAAATGCTGATACATGATGCTCAGTATAAATTCAATGGTTGATGATAGTGATGAAGATGATGACGATGATGAAGATGATGATGTTGCTGCTTCATTTAAAGTACTATTCACTAACATTTTTATAATCTGTTTTTAATACTATTGTTTGCATATTGTATATTATTATCTAAATATGTACAGCTGTGGTTTTCTGGTTAAGGTGCACGCTTTGCAATACAAAGTCCCAGGTTCAAACATTGGCAAAAGTTATCATTACCAACCCGAAAAGGATCCCATAAGATCAGCTTGGTTGGATGGACCACCAATGTAAATATGCAGAGGTGTATCTATGAGTTTGAAATGGGGGTGCGGGCTGATGGGGTGTGAGATGAAGAAAGGCTCGACGATTAAATGAGGGGCGCTACCAGGCAAAATAAACTGATATGAGGTGATTTTAAATACTTTTCAATGGGCGAGGGGCGCACCCCTACATACGTCACTGTAAATAATTTCATGAAACTGCTACCTTGGAAATTTGCCTGCCAGTAGTGCAGGCCTAATCATCATGTTTCAGAATAATTGAAGTCAAGAAATCTTTACATAGACTTACATCATTGTAATAATCTGTTATTCGTTCCAAGACTTTTTTCAGGTTGCTGTGTTTAATTCGCCAGTTCCCACTGGCATCTCGTTTGATTCTCTTAAACCATTCATCATCAAATTCGGTTGGTACACTATAAAAAAAAAACAGATCAATTTCTGCTAAACACAGTTTCTTGAACTTAAGAAGCATCACAAACTGAGTAAAGTGTTGGGGTATTTTTTTTCCATGTGGTATCCTCCTCCCAGGGCAGGATCCAGTAAAAAAATCTGTGCAGGGTGTGGGTGTGATATGTAAAACTCTGGGTGTGGGAGAGCATTAGTGTTTGACATTAAGTTCAGAAATGCTTGACGCTGATACTTAGAATTTAAATTAAAAATCAGCTTGTTTTTAGAGTACTGTACTTCCCTCATCCTCCTTTCATTTCTTTTCTTCTCTCTTTTTTTCAGTGGAGGGCCCTAGACCACATAGTCCCCTGATCGTCCCCTGGCATCCCCTCTAATTAGGGCAAAAGTGGGAGAAGTTATCTTTCCAAAAACAATATTCCCGATACATAAAAGTTACATTTTTAACATTATACACTAAATTGTTAAAGTGATGTGTGTAGGTCTATTGTATTTTTTCAATTCATCTACTATGAAAATCTCCATATGAATGCAAGTAATTATACTGGGCTGCCCACTAAATAAGCCCCAGATTTTCAGAGGAAGTTCCCTGACTGATAAAGTAGACAGGTGACCTTTTATGAATATATTAAAGTCACCTGCAGCAAATCCTAAAGTTTGCTTTGAAAGACAAGTTCACTCTCAAACATAAACATGAACAGAGATTTAGGGGATATGAGCTTTCGCACATTTGCGACAATGAAATTTAAAAAGCAAAGACCGGGGACCAAGAGGAACGTTCTACCGTCAAACAACACCGGCCGTTAGAGGGCGTAACTGAACACAAACGCCAGGACAAGACCAATCCCAATGTAAGATTTTAATCAGTCTGATAAAAAGTACCTGATTGAACCAGAAATGTCACTGAGCTAACATTTAATTTATTATTATCTCTTTAATGCTAATAAAATGAAAAACCATTTGTTATTATATAGACAGAACCAGATGAAATTTTTCCATGATTCTCTCCCAATCATGATTAAAGTAAGATAATACAATGGGTTCAGTTTGAATTGAATAATGAATAAAATCTTACCATTGTTGGAGAATTTCTGCTATAGCTACTCCATCTGCAAGGTCATCGACCTTCACATGACGTGCGTTAAGTTCAAAAGTCCCAACCTGTGCAAATAAAATATAGGTGATTTTCTGACAACTTATACTTCATTTTTCTTGACATCAGCATGCAGAACTGTAGTACTGTATTAACTGTGCGTGCACTGAACTATGGAAAATTTTTGCCACTGTTCTATATTCGATCTTTATCTGCAGTGATACATGAGATTATAGCATCCGTATTAAAGACCCATTTAAGCCATTGGTATCATACAACAACATGGCACATGTACTGTACTATGTTAACGTACAGTAAGATAGTAAGAATACACACGTACATTAATCAGAAGAGCACAGGATTGTCTCCACTCCCTAATTTAAAACCAGGAGTTGCTTAAAAGAGAACTAGAAAGATGTTTTTTTTTTTTTCTAGAGGGGATTTTTATCATGCCATTAATCACAATCACCTTTCACGCTGCGGCACACGCTCCTACAGAACCGGTGCTTTGATTGCCGACTAGTAACTACTTTCACAGCTAAACTCATATTAGGGATTCAGATTAGGATATTAATTAGGGTTGTTGTGACGAAAAGTGTACAGGGCCGCAATGTGTTCGTTGACTGTCAAGCACCTCACAATTATTAGTTTCCGATTATTATTAGACTAGGATTATTAGTCTAAAGGTGTTTACTGTTACCCGATGTTTTAGCGGTACGTGTGCTGGGTAATGTAGTAACCAAGTTTGGGGAGTAGCTTGTGTTTGGGCGCTGTGCATAAGATAGTATATTGCTTTTTACAGTAGGCATACAGCAGTCACTAATACTTCAGATTAATACTTGACCATGAAACTTGTCTATGGGATTGGTAAAGCGATTGAAGTCAACACCAATCTGCAAGTGCTGTAACAAAAAATAGGGGTAAACGCCTGTGACCATGGGACTGATTGTGAATGATTTATCTATTTATCTGCCTTGTTTGGGTTGTCAGTTTCAATTATGTAAGAACATGTTAATCATCTCTGGTCAGCTTACGCTTATTAGTTGGTTTGGATACCTGGGGGTACTGTATTTTATGTGGGATGGTCCATCACCTACATCATTTCGCAACGTGACATTGGTGAGCGTGCGGGGGGATCCTCCAGCCATTCCAAGAGTGCAATTTGCAAGTTACCTTGCTTGTACCCTGGGTGCACAAAAACAGACCATCGCGAACATGGCAGTGCAGTTTATAAAACAGCACATGCCCAATTGTGCTGCATTACACAGGCACAAGCCACAAAATTTCCCTTCATTTATTTATTCAACCATAAACAACATACAGCACAATAACAACAAAACGATGGTCAGGGACAGCTAAAGCAAATAAATGACTATACCTCAAAAGAGTCACCTGCCGCTTAAATATGAAGTACCTGTAACGTGAATATTGCACACTCAGGCAAACCTAGTCGCCAACTCAATCAAAAGAGTGTGACTGGTAAGGCTGGAGAAACATAATGTCATCGAAATGAAAACCAGGTGGTCAATACAGTGACTCAATGAGTTCTTCGGTTCTAAGCTGGCAGATGAATTCGCAGTGTACCCTATTAGCCACCGGTCTGATCAGATCCATTGGCGGTGCCACCTTGCCATTGTGGAGCGCCTCGGTGGTGAAGTAGTCAGTGCGATTGCCTGACCAGCGAAGGAGTCTGTCCCTATGCCACATCCTCCCCTTAATAATAGGAAGGAACAGGCTGCATCGGGGCCATCTCCTAAAACAGGGAAAAAGGCAAAGCCATACGGGCAGATTTTGGTTGTTACCCCGGTTAGGATGGAAGGAAGAATTGTGATTTATAGCGATCCCGAAACCTACCTCTCTTTCCGGTAGATCTGTTCTGGGGTGTGAGGTGGGCGTAAGTTTACATCCCAAGCACAAGGCATCGCCAGCTCAATTTGATAGGCCGAGGAATCTCACACTAGGTCTTCCCATGGAGTACTCAGTGAAATTGGGTTGTACGATGCCAAGCACAGACTGGGTCCGGCAAGATGAAATGTCTGGTGCTTAGACAGTGCTACTCCTTCCGGCGCCACAGTCTAATTTTGCACGTACTTAAGGGAAATGCATGGGGATGACGTGGCAGATGAATGCTACTATGGGCACTCTACATTCTTCGTCTGGCAGGTATTCCCAAAAGATCAGAAATTGCTCCTGCTGTTTTTTATCCTGTGTTAATGTACAGTAGTGGACACATTTTTCCACTACTTCCCGGGGACCTACTTTTGTTATACTTTCTGGGCTGGTGGGTTCTCGGAATTACAACCGGAGGCTGCCAGGCATGATGATTGACCGCTGGTACTGTAACTCATCGAGTCCGATGGTTCCTATTTTCTTCCTTCGGGTTAGTGGGTGGGAGCACCCCATCTGCTATGGCAAACAGCGGTGGTGGTGGGTCGGGTCTTGGGCTGGGATGCCGGGAGAGTTTCATCTTACGTTTCCTTAATTTCTGTTCTTTTCCAGTGTATGAAACCTTTCCGAGCAAACCCAGACTCGGAGCCCACAGAAATCATACAAAACTTAAACATCTGTGGGTTGGGTATTTGCACATGCAGCATGGCGTCCTTTTTCAAACAATGGGAAATGTAGTGATGACCCCCTGGAGGTCACACTGCAATGACCTCGAACTCCCTGGGTTAGCTCATCTGCACAGACTGGCACGCCTGGCCTGTGCACTGCACGGCCGACCTTGGAAGACCCTTTGAGAAAGGATGTCACTTCGAATCAAGAGCTCAAGCAACATGGATTGTAAGCCTACACTAGGCGGAGGCCTAGGCCTAGGGCTTAGTTTAGGCCTATATAAATAGCCCAAGCGAGAAACATACCAATAGATCCCAATTATAAGTACCAACACTGGCTATCGCCTTATCTTATATGAAGCAACATATCTGAGTCTCCCTTAAAAGTAATAAATATATAAATAACCATTCATGTAGGGGCTAGGCTACCTATAACGAAAGATCACTTCCTCTAACAAATATTGAGCCACCACAGGCAATCAAATGCGGTCGGGGATACTCTACGAAATTAACGGAAGTCCGGGCTTAACTGACAGCGCCATAATTACTGCCTGTCTAATTATAAACCATTATTACATTTGTTTCTAGTAAAAATACTGTTATGTACTACATACCCAAGCTATAAGGCTGCTACATAGGTCATGATGTGCCATCATGAATAAGAAAAACTACAAAATAAAACTAGAGAACGTTGTCTTTAAATTATTTAATTCTTTCAACATACGACTTCCAATCTCTCTTTCGTCTCGACATACAGTCAGCTCTGTCAAAAATACAATAGGAAAAGTGTATACTGCCCTCTATTTTTACCAGGGCGTTTTTATTTCGGGGGTGGGGTGTAAACTAAAATAATCAAAAGGAATTGGATCCGCATTGGATACCTATGGCCCAACCCCAGAATAATAATTGGAATAGCTACGCAAAATATTTTTTTTTAATTCTCTAAACAAACATACACATAGTCTGTAAACAATGAATGGCGAATTAACCTCCTAAAGCCACTCCTGAGAAACTAGGATTCACTTCTGAATTCGCAGAATTAAATAAGGCCCCCCAGGGCCCCCCCCCGGTCGGGGAGAGCTGTCCCCCCCCCCGTCGGGGAGAGCTGTCACCCGTCGGGGAGAAAAAGCACAATTCGTCGGGGAGGAAAAAAAAATTGTATGTATTTTCTACATATTAGTAGATTCTAAAACCGATTAAATAAGCCTTTGAAACCCCTAAATTTGTCAAAATTGTCGGGGGCTTCCCCGAGGACCACTTTCGAAACCTTTTAATCGAAGCTCGACCACGCCCACTTTGCTTTCGTCGGGGAAATCTGACCCCTCTTCGGGGCATCGTTTTTCTTCTTTAAATTAATTATGCTCAATTCTTCTATAACAAAGACGTAAAAATGTTCATCAAATTCCACTGGGTCAGTAAACTTTTTCAAATAATATAAGGGCGTGTGTTCGGTAATATGATATATCCAATAATTTCGCATTCTGCTGCTGAACGCACGTAGGCCAAGTTTTAATGTATATGGAAATGTAGTGGCCAGATTTTCTATCGTTCTCCTGGTGTAGTTTGTTGATTATATTATGACACACAGTGTCTTCTAACTTCAAATGGTAATCATTAACTCATTATGTTGGTGTACAGGCCGTTTGATGATCGGCTGATAGGCTAGCAAGCATACGGTACCGTATAGATTAAAATGAAATTCAAATGACCTTTATTATCAATTGTAAACAAAATTGAGGAAGAGAAACAACACATTTTCAGCAACCAATACAAGAAAAAGCGAAACACAGAAACAAATTATACTTTACAAAGCTATAAATTGGAAAGTTATGAAATTCACAAATAAAAAAAATCGTTAACATAATGTTTAAATTTACAATTAAAAAAATATCAACGAAAAATTAATTAGATTATGAAAACTGTCACTGAAATTTAATAAAGTAGAGCACAAATTCACCGAAATATACAAAGATTCAACTATATTTTTTCAAGTAAATAATTTACTAATTGAAAGCAATTTCTATAAATATATACTTATGTATAGGTTTAAAATATTAATGTACATTATCAATATTTAAATCTATTTATAAAAGTGTATGATTATAGGATTATGATCATAATTAGTTAATTAATTTTAATTAAGTTTAATATTATTTGTTCAGCTTTAATTTTTCTTTAATCTTAAAAGAATTACTTACAATATATAGGCCTAATAGTATTATATATATACATATATATATATAGTATAATATATTCCGCAATGTTTTCTTGTGGCTTGGTTGTTACTCTGAGTTTCGCGCCCTATGGCGGTCATCAGACAACTGGCAGCCTAAGGTTGTTACTTGATGTTATACCCATTTGTCACCTCTTTCTATCCCGTTCATTGCCCTGACTTGCGCATGCAGTGTAACAACCAAGCCGCAAGAAAACATCGCGGAATATATTATACTATACAACGCTATACAGCTTATCTATTGAGTACTATACCTGCTAATACTGATACACCGTAATTTAATTTATATAATATATTATATACATATATATATATATGTATATATTCCGTTTTTTTTTTTCATTTGTTTTTACATTTTACATATATATGTATATATATATTACATATTCATGATC